GTGGAAAAGAGTGGAAGAGTGGAAAGAGTCGAGGTCTTTTGCCACCAACTAAGTGATTGAGTGTGTTCTGTCTTGCTCTGCACAGCGAGAAATGATATGAGCGCATGTCAATTTGATATGATTACATATATTTACAATCTGTGCTCTTTTCTTGCCGTGTAACCATCACATTCGCGTGTTGTGACAACAACAGCAACAAATTGCATTAAATGAAAAGGTTTCTCCTGGGCGAATGTGTGTATATTTGCTGTTTCCCATTTCCTTTTGCGCCAATTGATCGAGTGGACAGGCAAACACCGAAAGACTGACATCCGTTCACACTCATAACGAGAAGAGAACGTTGAAATGGAGTTAAGGGGTATCTATAAGGTACTGGGTTCCCTTTGATTTATTGTTAGTTAACTAAAAATTGGTTTATATGGATGATAATTATTAGATTATAATCTATGTATATCTTTGAAACCATTTAAATAACTATGGTTTGGTATGGTAATAAATATAGGGTATTCTCAGAAGAACCCAACCAAAGCCTCATAATTCCTTTGGCGGTGAGTGTTTGCATTTCCAACTTGGCACTTTGCTATTGACAGTGACTGTGAGTGAAAACCAGAAATCGTGTGCACTCCAGAGGTTATTTTAGTTTTAGCATCGTGTGCAAAGTGAATGGTCGAGGATCTTATACCCCTCCCTCCTTTGAAATCTGCCTTCTTCGTTCGATCTTGTATGATATGAAAAAATTCCCTTGATTGACAGGCAAATCCCATTGGATTTGGCATGACCAATTATTTGGCATTTACTGTTTCCTGCTCATCTGCGTTTAATTGGTTATGCCGTGACTGCAACTGTGACTGTGACTGTCACTGTGACTGAAGAGTGGGAGCTGCTTCTTCGGGCTGCGAAAGAAATGGAAATCTCCATACTTTGTATCTAATTGACCAAGCTACTTTCACTGGTCATTGTCATTAGTGTGAGCCAAACCCCTTTGACCTTTCATCGTGCGTAGTTGTTTTCCATTTCCCCTTCACTCTCTAATGATGTGATCACTGATCAGGTCCATTCTTCTCTTATTTTCTTTTCTTTTCTCTTTCCTACGCTATTCCTATATCTTTGTATCTGCTTATGATGCAATTCTCTTTGGCGTAATTAGAGGTCCCAAACAAGAATGAGAATGGCAATGAGAAGAAGAAGAAGTAAGCGTGCCTAATGATAACCTTTTGAAGACCCCTCTTCGGGATTCGTTTCGATTCCGTTTCATTCTCTCTCTATCTCTCTCTTTCTCTCTCTCTCTTTCTTTCTGTTCCCATCGCGTTCCCCGTCGTAACTGCAAATTTTCTTGATTACCGGGTAGCCAACTTAAATCCAAGTACGCGCCACTGGCCACAAGAATTGACCAAAGCCAGAAGAAACCGGAGAGGAGCCCAAAGGGGGCGTGCCAGCACTGACCATTGACCATTTGAGATGGCCACCAGCTGATGAGAAGCGCTGCAGTCCATCGATCTCCGATTCCCGGCCATATAATTACCATTCGCATAAAAACGAGGAAAAAACCACACAGAGAACAGAAAACAGTTGGCATTGTGGGGTTGGGTGACCTTCATGAACCTTGAGGATTCTGTAATTTCAGTAGGCAGTAGAATGATGAGAACCCACCCCGTAAATTAGAAATGGTCAAGGACGCTAAGCGGAGGCCAAAAATAAACCCAACACTCGGCTATAAATAACGAGATTCGTGAGCTGGCAATCGTCGCAGGGCCAATTGCAATTCTTATTTCTTCGCAGAAGCAGAAATGGCAGAAGAACAGAAGTGCAGAAGAGCCAGTAGATTCGCAACAATGACGTCAACAGGGCAATCTCGAAGGGCTTTATCTCGCAGCTCGGATCTCTGCAATCTTTCCGCGGCCCTTGTAATTGGCTTCTGTTAAAGTCCAGTTTCTCGTTTCAAATGCATTTTATTTCTACGGTTTAGATCCCACAATGATAAATATATCACTATATAATGGAGATCTAGTGAATAAAGCTGAATAAAGTTGTATGGTTCTGTTCTTTAAGTGATGAGAACTTTAGGGTTTAGATCCTTCAATGATAAATATATCACTATATAATAAAGATCACTATATAATACAGATCTGTTCTCCAAGTGATGAGAGCTCCTAGATCATTTTAACTCCCTTTCGATTTAATTAAAAATCACCACTAAGTAATTTGAGCTATTTACTTGGACTTTTGTCGCATTGTTCGGGTCTGACTTTTGGACATTAATCCTGCCTGCCCCTTCCCCTGATTTTTTTTTACCATGCAAAAAGAGAGCAATCGCAGATGTTGCTGCTGAAGATGCAACACAAGTTGCAGCTGGGCCAACGACAATTTCAGTTTGGCTCCCGTTGAGTTGCTGCTGCTGCTGCCGGCGATGCTGCGGGTTGCTATTGCTGCTGCAGTTGCTGATGTTGCTGCTGCTCTTGTTGCAGTTGCTCTTGTCGCTGTCGCAGTTGTTGCCGTTGTTGCTGTCGTGCGCTTCGAGGGGGATCGCAAGTTGCAACAGCAACATCAGCGGGCATTCTTCGCTGTCTTTGCCACCTATTTCATACAGCATACAGAACATTTGTTGTCGCTGTTTAGTGTTGTTGTTGCTGTTGCTGATGTCGCTGTCGATGTTGCTGATGTTGCCCTGCAATCGGACACGCCGGCAACTGGGCAACATTTGGCACTGGCCCGCGGAGAATTCGATGCCCCGGCTATATCGTTTGCCATTTCCCATTCCGAATTCTCGAATGCACAGCGAGAAATGGGGTTAACCTGTATAAGTTCAAATACCCGAAGTATGTAATTTCAAATCTTCTATTTTTCACTGTGTGGCAAACCGATTCTCGGCTTTCATTTGGCCATTTGCAGCTCGTGTTGGGCTGGTTTAATATCGCTGGTAATGGCCACGTTTCGAGCTCTATAATCACCGACGAGCGGGGGAAATGCATGAAAAAATTGCATTGGCAGAGTGCCCAAACCCCAAACCCCAACTGCAACTTCAAGTCCAGGTTTCAAGTCGTTTCTGGACAATTTTCACAAAACAAATTGAATTGAATATGTAAATATAATTGCTCGGGGGGCTATTTCGATCTGCCCTCCTCCTTCCGACGTACGAACATCCCACTCCACTTCGTATGGGGGGCGTTTAAAAACCCATAAATTTCGACTTAAATGCCGCTCTATAAGTCGGTGAGGGAGGTGGAAAAAGAATACATATAAGAGCTTGAGAAGTCCAAGGAGAAGACTTGCTGGCTAACTTATATGGCATTAGCTTCCGCAAGACTTTGACCATTTGTAGATGGCACCGTAGAAATGAATAAATGAATGCAAATGCATGCGGTTAAATAATCCATGACTCGGGATGAATGAATGAATCAAATGGCTCCTGCCCCACGGGCCGCAGAATGAATGTAAGCTGAATAATTAACCGAATTGGTGTGCCATTAGATGAATAACTCAGTCTGGGAAAGGGGTTAACCCATTTTTTGGTTCAACTACAAACGGTAAACTGTGAATACATGATTATTGAACTCAATGCATTCTGATATTAACTTATGAATTAAATTAATTATCCAGAATATCAGTAACCACTCATATCCAAGTTATCAATTAGTGAATGAATGATTGAAGGAATTATCCAGAGTATCAATTTCCATTCATATATAACTAATCAATTGAATGAATAAGTCATGCAATAAGTGAATAGGTAATGGCTACTCATTACTGATTGAATGAATTACTCAGAAGATCAATAATCCATTCACTTCATAAGAAACTTACTTATAAGACTCGACTATTACTGATTAATTGAATTATCCAGAATATAAATTTCCACTCATAACCAACTTATCTATTAGGTAACTTATGAATAGGTAATGGCTGCTCATCACTGATTGAATGAATTACTCAGAATATCAATAGCCCATTCACTCCATGAGCTCAACTCACTCATACTCATTCCCCAACCATTCGATTTCCCTTTTCTTTGGTGGCGACCACCCACTTATTGGCACATGAGCCTCCACCACATGGCAACCATTCGCTCCTTTTGCACCTGCAGGTCAACTCCCTGAACCGCCATGCGCACTCGGGGGTCAATTGGCTGGGATGGTGGATGGGTTTACTTGGATTACCAGTCTGTCCGCAGAAAGCAATTTGCTGCTGCCTGCCCAATGCTCCAATGAAAACCACAAGAATGCCAAAAAGTTGTTTCTCCGCAGCGGCCAGAGATTGGAATTGGAATTGCTATTGGTATAGGAATAGGATTTGTGGAACGGGAATGGAGTGGGCCGTTAGAAGCCCCAACCGCAGATCGTCAATAAAACGCAGGCCCCTTTCTTTCGGACAGCTCATTAAAGTCTGTGGCAAGTCAAAGAGTTTGATGTGGACATGGATGTGGGAAGATGTCTTGCACTTGAGCCAACGAACTGGTCTGGTCTGGCCAGGGATCTCCATGGTTTTGTGGCTCAGTTTTTTATTGGTTCGGTGGTTCGGTGGTTCAGTGGTTCGGCGCTTAGTTAAGCGTGTAATGGGCCAGTCCGAAGGGCGGAAGTAGTAGCTACTGCACCACTGAACCACCTCGACTGGAAGGCACTTGGCTTGCTTCTCCCCCGTTCTCGTTGGGATCTATATACCTCCTCCATTCAAATGGAGGCTGTCGGCACTGGCAGTTAGAGAAGTGGAACGAAGAGGGCGGAGATTGCTGACCAGGTAGCTTGGGAAAGGAAATAGCACTCGGCAGTTAACTCCAAGGAAAGAAGATTTGTACACCTTTAAAGTATGTACTCTCTCATATTCCAAGATATTGTTTTATTTTAATCTTTGAATTATTCCTGATTTTCGGTTTTTTAGTTTAGATTTATTTGTTAACTCGTTTTTCCTATCGTTTAAACTTGCCATTTAAAATGGCACCCCTTTTATAGTATCAGATGATTATTTCATTTTATTAAAAGCTATCTACTTGGATCTTTTCCTTCCAGAACGCAGAATGCAGTCAGCCGAGAGTAGGAGAAATCCCAACCGATTGTCGGCGCACATGGGTCTCCACCTGGGTCCCCTGGTGATCTTGGTCCTTCTGGTGGCTCTGCCCGGCCAAATCCATGCCCGGATGGCCTTCGAGAAGCTGACGGACTTTGATTTCCCCGGCAACACATACTACAGCGTGAAGAACCTCTCGCTGTACGAATGCCAGGGATGGTGTCGCGAGGAAGCGGACTGCCAGGCGGCGGCCTTTAGCTTCGTGGTGAATCCACTGTCGCCCTCGCAGGAGACCCACTGTCAGCTGCAGAACGACTCGTCGGCGGCCAATCCGTCGGCAGCTCCCCAGAGGAGCGCCAACATGTACTACATGGTCAAGTTGCAGCTGCGCAGCGAGAATGTCTGCCATCGTCCGTGGAGCTTCGAGAGGGTTCCCAACAAGGTGATCCGTGGCCTGGACAATGCCCTGATCTACACCAGCACCAAGGAGGCCTGCCTGTCCGCCTGCCTCAACGAACGTCGCTTCGTCTGCCGGTCGGTGGAGTACGACTACAACAACATGAAGTGTGTGCTCAGCGACTCCGATCGTCGCAGCTCGGGTCAGTTTGTCCAGCTGGTCGATGCCCAGGGTACGGATTACTTTGAGAATCTCTGCCTGAAGCCCGCGCAGGCCTGCAAGAACACACGCTCGTTTGGCAATGCCCAGAAAATGGGCGTCTCCGAGGAGAAGGTGGCCCAATATGTGGGTCTGCATTACTACACCGACAAGGAGCTCCAGGTGACCTCCGAGTCCGCGTGCCGTTTGGCCTGCGAAATTGAATCCGAGTTCCTGTGCCGCTCCTTCCTGTACTTGGGTCAACCGCAGGGCGCCCAGTACAATTGCCGGCTGTATCACTTGGATCACAAGACCCTGCCCGATGGTCCCTCCACTTATCTGAATCACGAACGGCCGCTGATCGATCATGGCGAGCCCATTGGCCAGTACTTTGAGAATCAGTGCGAGAAGGCAGCCGGCTCGGGAGCTGGAACTCCACCAGGAACGCTGGACAAGATCGACACCCTGCCCGTTAGCCTGGACACCATCGAGGATCCCAATCTGACCAACTTGACGCGCAACGATGTCAACTGCGACAAGACGGGAACTTGCTACGATGGTAAGTATTGATTGGACCAGGTAGCTTAGGAAAGGAAGTAGCACTGGGCATTTAAGTCCAAGGAAAGAAGATTTGTGAGATCCACTTACCCATATTCCAAGATATTGTTCCATTTTAATCTTCGAATTATTTCTGAATTTCGGTTTTTTCATTTAGATTTCTTTGTTGACTCGGTTTTCCAATCTATTGAACTTGCCATTTAAAATAGCCCTTCTTTTATAGTATTAGATGTTGATATTAAACATATTCCAAGATATTGTTCCATTTTAATCCTCGAAATATTTCTGAATTTCGATATTTTTATTTAGATTTCTTTGTTAACTCGTTTTTCCTTTCGTTTGAACTTGTTATTTAAAATAGCCCTCCTTTTATAGTATTAGATGATTGTGTAGTGTTGAAATTAATCTTATTCCAAGATATTTTTCCATTTTAATCTTCGAATTATTTCTGAATTTCGGTATTTTCGTTTAGACTTCTTTGTTAACTCGTTTTTTCTACCCTTTTAACTTGCCTTTTAAAATAGCCCTCCTTTTATAGTATTAGATGATGCATCAGAGGATCTCTAACTGATCTTCTCTTCCTTTAACAGTTTCTGTTCACTGCAAGGACACCAGGATTGCCGTCCAGGTGCGCACCAACAAGCCCTTCAATGGACGCATCTACGCCTTGGGACGCTCGGAGACCTGCAACATTGATGTGATCAACTCGGACGCCTTCCGTTTGGATCTGACCATGGCCGGGCAGGATTGTAACACACAGAGTGTGGTAAGTGAAAGATCATCTAAGGCTAGAGGAGGATAACTAGTCACCCCGATCTCCTCCAGACTGGTGTCTACTCCAACACGGTGGTTCTGCAGCATCACAGCGTGGTGATGACCAAGGCGGACAAGATCTACAAGGTCAAGTGCACATACGACATGAGCTCCAAGAACATCACCTTCGGCATGATGCCCATCCGCGACCCCGAGATGATCCACATCAACTCGTCGCCGGAGGCTCCGCCACCAAGGATTCGCATTCTGGACACACGACAGCGCGAGGTGGAGACTGTGCGCATCGGAGATCGCCTCAACTTCCGCATCGAGATCCCCGAAGACAGTGAGTGTGGAGTAGGGCTTTCCAAGGGCTTTGCTCTATTAATCCATATGCATATCCTACAGCTCCCTATGGCATCTTCGCCCGGTCTTGTGTGGCCATGGCCAAGGACGCCCGGACCAGCTTCAAGATCATCGACGACGATGGCTGCCCCACCGATCCGACCATCTTCCCCGGCTTCACCGCCGACGGCAATGCCCTGCAGTCCACATACGAGGCATTCCGGTTCACCGAGAGCTACGGCGTCATCTTCCAGTGCAATGTCAAGTACTGTCTGGGTCCCTGTGAGCCGGCTGTGTGCGAATGGAACATGGAGTCATTCGAATCGCTGGGCAGGAGGCGTCGTCGTTCCATCGAGAGGTAAGTGTGGTGACTATACCCGAAAAAAAATCGATCTTACATTATTTAAGATCAATTTGACCTGGTCGAAAAGAGTATTTTTTGCAAAAACGATACCACTACACCCAAAAAATAAATCAATATGAAACGTAGATCGATTTTACATTATTTACGATCAATTTTACCTGGTCGAAAACAGTGTTTCATGTAAAAACGATCTGGGTTTTTCATGACCTGAAATACTACTTTTTTTGTGTGTAGGTAATCAAACGGCATGATATAATCCCTCATTTCATTCCACTACACCAAAAAAATAAATCAATATGAAACGTAGATCGATTTTACATTATTTAAGATCAATTTGACGTGGTCGAAAAGAGTGTTTCATGTAAAAACGATATGGGTTTTGCAAGAGCTGAAATTTACATGGCCCTATAAATTTTACGGTATGGTATCAAACGGCATGATATAATCCCTCGTTTCATTCCATTCGTTCCCAGCAATGAGACCAAGAGCGAGGACGACATGAACATCTCGCAGGAGATTCTGGTCCTGGACTTTGGCGATGAGAAGCGCGAGTTCTTCAAGGCAGATCCCAGCACGGACTTTGCCAAGGGTGAGTGTTACATTTAAGCTCTGAGTTCTGAGTTCGCCATACTGATGACTGTACCTTCGTTCCATTCCATTTCGTTCCAACCAGACAAAACGGTCACCATCATCGAGCCCTGCCCCACGAAGACATCGGTGCTGGCCCTCGCGGTCACCTGTGCGCTGATGATCCTGCTCTACATCTCCACCTTGTTCTGCTATTACATGAAGAAGTGGATGCAGCCCCACAAGATCGTAGCATAAGTGAGGAACGAGTGGAAAATGAAATAGAAGCAAGAAGAAGCAGAAGCAGTAGAACGAAAGAATCGAAACAAGAAAACAAGAAAGAAAGAAAGAAAAGAAAACAAAAAGAAAGTACACAACAAAATTGTCACTCACACACACACACACACATACGCTCTCTCTCTCTTACACACACACATAGACACTCTAAATCTATATCTTTGTCTCGCTCTTGCCCAGGCGGGCTCAGCCCCTCCCACTTACACAGACACACACTACTGACAACCGTATAATTTTTTGTTTTTTTTTTTTTAAACGATATACATATAAATTAATTACTTAATATACAATTTATTTATTTATATTTATTTAGACTTAGAGCGTGAGATACAAATTCCCTTGAGAGCAAAGAAGAGAAAAATGATTTCCTAGTAGACACATACACACACTCACTCACACACACACACACATGAGCACATTTCACGTATGCGAATTAGTAGGAGAAAAGAAGCGAAGAAAAGAGAAAGCTAGATGGAAAAAAGCTGCGAGCGAGTACTTTCTATAAAGTTACGAAAGGGAACAACGGAAATGAAACATTGTCCTCGCCAGAAAAAGAGAGAGCGAGAGAGAGAGAGAGCGCGAAGTGGAGGACAGCTGAGTGGGAGAGAGAGAAAGAAACAGGACGATGTATCATGATCCCTTTTGTAACTTCTATAGAGACTGCAGCCGCACACACTCGCACTCAATCACACACACAACAACAAACACACTCACCCGTTTCCACACTCATTCACACACACTCACACACCCACACACGCACTCACATTTATTTAATTGTAAACTGAACGCAATAAACAGCAAACAAAAGCAATCAAAATGGAACTAAGGATAACTGAACGAAGAAGCAGAGACAAGAAAAGTAATTTCATCGATAGCAAATCAATGGAATTGTGCTTAATTGTATTGCATTTATTTAATTTAAATTTATTTATGATAATAAAGAAACGATAATGACCTATTTGAACACTCTTGTTTTGGTTGGGATAAGAAAATAATAAATAAATCCATGACACTTTCCGGGTGATCTTGATAAAACAAAATTTTCGACAATTTTAAATTTTTTTATAACGATTTTTTGCGAAAAAATAAAAATACATAAAATATCAAGGTTTAAATGCCAATCGTTAGAAAATTTAATAACGAGTTCAGAAAGGTATGACACTCCATACTTTAAATCAGTATTTGCTTTGTTTTAGTGAAAAAACCGGTTTTGTTTTTTTTTGGAAATTCTGAATTTCATTTTTTGACAAAAATTGAAATTTTTTCGTTTGGTTTTTTTTTCTGTAGCTTGGCCAAAAATGGTCCTACACCAAAAAGACATACTGTTTTGAACAGATAACAAAATTTGCTATAAATCCATACAACTTTCGTTGTGATTTTGGAAAAATAAAATTTTCGCCAATTTTTAATTTTTTTATAAGGGGGTACCCCATGATTTTTTGCGAAAAAATAAAAATACATAAAATATCAAGGTTTAAATGCCAATCGTTAGAAAATTTAATAACGAGTTCAGAAAGGTATGACACTCCATACTTTAAATCAGTATTTGCTTTGTTTTAGCGAAAAAACCGGTTTTGTTTTTTTTTGGAAATTCGAAATTTCATTTTTTGACAAAAATTGTAATTTTTTCGTTTGGTTTTTTTGCTGTAGCTTGGCCAAAAATGGTCCTACACCAAAAAGACATACTGTTTTGAACAGATAACAAAATTTGCTATAAATCCATACAACTTTCCGTGTGATTTTGGAAAAATAAAATTTTTGTCAATTTTTAATTTTTTTATAAGGGGGTACCCCATGATTTTTTGCGAAAAAAATAAAAATACATAAAATATCAAGGTTTAAATGCCAATCGTTAGAAAATTTAATAACGAGTTCAGAAAGGTATGACACTCCATACTTTAAATCAGTATTTGCTTTGTTTTAGTGAAAAAACCGGTTTTGTTTTTTTTTGGAAATTCTGAATTTCATTTTTTGACAAAAATTGAAATTTTTTCGTTTGGTTTTTTTTTCTGTAGCTTGGCCAAAAATGGTCCTACACCAAAAAGACATACTGTTTTGAACAGATAACAAAATTTGCTATAAATCCATACAACTTTCGTTGTGATTTTGGAAAAATAAAATTTTCGCCAATTTTTAATTTTTTTATAAGGGGGTACCCCATGATTTTTTGCGAAAAAATAAAAATACATAAAATATCAAGGTTTAAATGCCAATCGTTAGGAAATTTAATAACGAGTTCAGAAAGGTATGACACTCCATACTTTAAATCAGTATTTGCTTTGTTTTAGCGAAAAAACCGGTTTTGTTTTTTTTTGGAAATTCGAAATTTCATTTTTTGACAAAAATTGTAATTTTTTTCGTTTGGTTTTTTTGCTGTAGCTTGGCCAAAAATGGTCCTACACCAAAAAGACATACTGTTTTGAACAGATAACAAAATTTGCTATAAATCCATACAACTTTCCGTGTGATTTTGGAAAAATAAAATTTTCGCCAATTTTTAATTTTTTTATAAGGGGGTACCCCATGATTTTTTGCGAAAAAATAAAAATACATAAAATATCAAGGTTTAAATGCCAATCGTTAGGAAATTTAATAACGAGTTCAGAAAGGTATGACACTCCATACTTTAAATCAGTATTTGCTTTGTTTTAGCGAAAAAACCGGTTTTGTTTTTTTTTGGAAATTCTGAATTTTTTTTTTTGACAAAAATTTAAATTTTTTCGTTTGGTTTTTTTGCTGTAGCTTGGCCAAAAATGGTCCTACACCAAAAAGACATACTGTTTTGAACAGATAACAAAATTTGCTATAAATCCATACAACTTTCCGTGTGATTTTGGAAAAATTTAATTTTCGCCAATTTTTAATTTTTTTATAAGGGGGTACCCCATGATTTTTTGCGAAAAAATAAAAATACATAAAATATCAAGGTTTAAATGCCAATCGTTAGGAAATTTAATAACGAGTTCAGAAAGGTATGACACTCCATACTTTAAATCAGTATTTGCTTTGTTTTAGCGAAAAAACCGGTTTTGTTTTTTTTTGGAAATTCGGAATTTTTTTTTTGACAAAAATTGAAATTTTTTCGTTTGGTTTTTTTGCTGTAGCTTGGCCAAAAATGGTCCTACACCAAAAAGACATACTGTTTTGAACAGATAACAAAATTTGCTATAAATCCATACAACTTTCCGTGTGATTTTGGAAAAATTAAATTTTCGCCAATTTTTAATTTTTGTATAAGGGGGTACCCCATGATTTTTTGCGAAAAAATAAAAATACATAAAATATCAAGGTTTAAATGCCAATCGTTAGGAAATTTAATAACGAGTTCAGAAAGGTATGACACTCCATACTTTAAATCAGTATTTGCTTTGTTTTAGCGAAAAAACCGGTTTTGTTTTTTTTTTTGAAATTCGAAATTTCATTTTTTGACAAAAATTGAAATTTTTTCGTTTGGTTTTTTTGCTGTAGCTTGGCCAAAAATGGTCCTACACCAAAAAGACATACTGTTTTGAACAGATAACAAAATTTGCTATAAATCCATACAACTTTCCGTGTGATTTTGGAAAAATAAAATTTTCGCCAATTTTTAATTTTTTTATAAGGGGGTACCCCATGATTTTTTGCGAAAAAATAAAAATACATAAAATATCAAGGTTTAAATGCCAATCGTTAGGAAATTTAATAACGAGTTCAGAAAGGTATGACACTCCATACTTTAAATCAGTATTTGCTTTGTTTTAGCGAAAAAACCGGTTTTGTTTTTTTTTGGAAATTCTGAATTTTTTTTTTTGACAAAAATTTAAATTTTTTCGTTTGGTTTTTTTGCTGTAGCTTGGCCAAAAATGGTCCTACACCAAAAAGACATACTGTTTTGAACAGATAACAAAATTTGCTATAAATCCATACAACTTTCCGTGTGATTTTGGAAAAATAAAATTTTCGCCAATTTTTAATTTTTTTATAAGGGGGTACCCCATGATTTTTTGCGAAAAGGTTTAAATGCCAATCGTTAGGAAATTTAATAACGAGTTCAGAAAGGTATGACACTCCATACTTTAAATCAGTATTTGCTTTGTTTTAGCGAAAAAACCGGTTTTGTTTTTTTTTGGGAAATTCAAAATTTCATTTTTTGACAAAAATTGAAATTTTTTCGTTTGGTTTTTTTGCTGTAGCTTGGCCAAAAATGGTCCTACACCAAAAAGACATACTGTTTTGAACAGATAACAAAATTTGCTATAAATCCATACAACTTTCCGTGTGATTTTGGAAAAATTAAATTTTCGCCAATTTTTAATTTTTTTATAAGGGGGTACCCCATGATTTTTTGCGAAAAAATAAAAATACATAAAATATTAAGGTTTAAATGCGAATCGTTAGGAAATTTAATAACGAGTTCAGAAAGGTATGACACTCCATACTTTAAATCAGTATTTGCTTTGTTTTAGCGAAAAAACCGGTTTTGTTTTTTTTTGGAAATTCGAAATTTCATTTTTTGACAAAAATTGAAATTTTTTCGTTTGGTTTTTTTGCTGTAGCTTGGCCAAAAATGGTCCTACACCAAAAAGACATACTGTTTTGAACAGATAACAAAATTTGCTATAAATCCATACAACTTTCCGTGTGATTTTTGAAAAATAAAATTTTCGCCAATTTTTAATTTTTTTATAAGGGGGTATCCCATGATTTTTTGCGAAAAAATAAAAATACATAAAATATCAAGGTTTAAATGCCAATCGTTAGGAAATTTAATAACGAGTTCAGAAAGGTATGTTACTCCATACTTTAAATCAGTATTTGCTTTGTTTTAGCGAAAAAACCGGTTTTGTTTTTTTTTGAAATTCGAAATTTCATTTTTTGACAAAAATTGAAATTTTTTCGTTTGGTTTTTTTGCTGTAGCTTGGCCAAAAATGGTCCTACACCAAAAAGACATACTGTTTTGAACAGATAACAAAATTTGCTATAAATCCATACAACTTTCCGTGTGATTTTGGAAAAATTAAGTTTTCGCCAATTTTTAATTTTTTTATAAGGGGGTACCCCATGATTTTTTGCGAAAAAATAAAAATACATAAAATATCAAGGTTTAAATGCGAATCGTTAGGAAATTTAATAACGAGTTCAGAAAGGTATGACACTCCATACTTTAAATCAGTATTTGCTTTGTTTTAGCGAAAAAACCGGTTTTGTTTTTTTTTGAAATTCGAAATTTCATTTTTTGACAAAAATTGAAATTTTTTCGTTTGGTTTTTTTGCTGTAGCTTGGCCAAAAATGGTCCTACACCAAAAAGACATACTGTTTTGAACAGATAACAAAATTTGCTATAAATCCATACAACTTTCCGTGTGATTTTGGAAAAATAAAATTTTCGCCAATTTTTAATTTTTTTATAAGGGGGTACCCCATGATTTTTTGCGAAAAAATAAAAATACATAAAATATCAAGGTTTAAATGCCAATCGTTAGGAAATTTAATAACGAGTTCAGAAAGGTATGACACTCCATACTTTAAATCAGTATTTGCTTTGTTTTAGCGAAAAAACCGGTTTTGTTTTTTTTTGGAAATTCAAAATTTTATTTTTTGACAAAAATTGAAATTTTTTCGTTTGGTTTTTTTGCTGTAGCTTGGCCAAAAATGGTCCTACACCAAAAAGACATACTGTTTTGAACAGATAACAAAATTTGCTATAAATCCATAAAACTTTCGTTGTGATTTTGGAAAAATAAAATTTTCGCCAATTTTTAATTTTTTTATAAGGGGGTACCCCATGATTTTTTGCGAAAAAATAAAAATACATAAAATATCAAGGTTTAAATGCCAATCGTTAGGAAATTTAATAACGAGTTCAGAAAGGTATGACACTCCATACTTTAAATCAGTATTTGCTTTGTTTTAGCGAAAAAACCGGTTTTGTTTTTTTGGAAATTCGAAATTTCATTTTTTGACAAAAATTGAAATTTTTCGTTTGGTTTTTTTGCTGTAGCTTGGCCAAAAATGGTCCTACACCAAAAAGACATACTGTTTTGAACAGATAACAAAATTTGCTATAAATCCATAAAACTTTCGTTGTGATTTTGGAAAAATAAAATTTTCGCCAATTTTTAATTTTTTTATAAGGGGGTACCCCATGATTTTTTGCGAAAAAATAAAAATACATAAAATATCAAGGTTTAAATGCCAATCGTTAGGAAATTTAATAACGAGTTCAGAAAGGTATGACACTCCATACTTTAAATCAGTATTTGCTTTGTTTTAGCGAAAAAACCGGTTTTGTTTTTTTTTGGAAATTCAAAATTTTATTTTTTGACAAAAATTGAAATTTTTTCGTTTGGTTTTTTTGCTGTAGCTTGGCCAAAAATGGTCCTACACCAAAAAGACATACTGTTTTGAACAGATAACAAAATTTGCTATAAATCCATAAAACTTTCGTTGTGATTTTGGAAAAATAAAATTTTCGCCAATTTTTAATTTTTTTATAAGGGGGTACCCCATGATTTTTTGCGAAAAAATAAAAATACATAAAATATCAAGGTTTAAATGCCAATCGTTAGGAAATTTAATAACGAGTTCAGAAAGGTATGACACTCCATACTTTAAATCAGTATTTGCTTTGTTTTAGCGAAAAAACCGGTTTTGTTTTTTTTTGGAAATTCTGAATTTCAGTTTTTGACAAAAATTGAAATATTTTCGTTTGGTTTTTTTGCTGTAACTTGGCCAAAAATGGCAAATAAATAAAATGCCCAGGTTTAAATGCCAATCGATAGTAAATTTAATAACGAGTTCAGAAAGGTATGACAATATTTCCATTGTTACGGTCAAAATGCTGACTTTGAAAAGAAAGTTTCAATTGAAATAAATTGCAAGTTTTAGTTTGAAATGCATAACTTGGTCAAGATAAAATAATGAAAAACCGAACAACATATTGGGTGTTTTGTTAAATTTTTCTTCATTTATTTAAATTTTATTGTATAAATGCAGTTTTTATCCATAATTAATCGCTAGACAATTATTGAAATCTAACAATCTGATGAGGACGGAGTCTGTTTAAGCTGAAAACTTTATAGTTACAAGGATGCTATGCTTATACTATTGCTGAATTCGTCAAAACGGTTTAATTAATAATACGGTTTTAGTTATAAATACTAAAACGGCTTTACTTTAAAAATGAATCAATTTAATCCTAGATTTTCACAAAAAAAGCTTATGATAATCAGGATTTGGGTTAGCTCTTCTGTTGTTTTGTTGAATTCAGAGATTACCAAGAATCTTTATGATAATTTCTACAGAAACTTGTCAATCTCGCGCTGTGCGAATCAATATAAATAAACAAGTTATTACAAAATGGTTTAAAGTTTCTGCATTTTTTGATAGCAATACCTAGGCTAGGCTACAAACTAAGTTGAGTGACGGCAGGACGATATCCAGTTTGGCAGGATACCTCCCTCACTCGTCCTCTTGCACATGAAAGTCCTTAGTTACTAGTTACTGAGCTGGCTTAGCCGGTGGAGATTGGCATCGGTGGGCCCGCGAGGTCACCTCAGCCGCAGTGGCTTCACCTCGGCCAATCCGTGTTCCGGTGCCCGCGACTTGGCCGCCGCCACGCAGGTCTCCTTGAGCGTCTTGCCCGCCGGCCGCTTGACGCACTCATCGAAGTAGCACTTCTCCACGTTATGCAGGAACTCCACCAGCAGCCGATCGTCGCCGCCATTCGGCCCCACGGAGTACTCGCACTCGTAGCCATGCTGCTTGAGATCCCGCACACAGCAGTCGATGAATTCCGCATTGGCGGAGTACCAATCGTTGTGGCGCTCCAGCGGAATGCCCAGCCGGCTCCTCACCACGCCCGTTAGCCAGGTGTCGTCGATCCAGAAGAAGGACACCCGTTCTGCCTCCGCAGCAATCCTCTCGGCCGTCGGCACATTGGTAACATACAGCCAGCCGGAAAGGTAGGCGGGATACAGGGCATGTGGATACTCCTTCTTGCTCACATACCACTTGTTGGCTCGCAGCCGAATTGGTGGCTTGGCGTCCAGGACGTAGCCGGAAAGCAAAGTGCTGGAGGTGGCCAGTCCCGGTTGACCCACCTCCAGGGCCTCCAGGTAGCGACGCAGATGGAAGACATCGTAGATGATGTCGTCGTCCAGCTTGATGATGAACTTGGCCCTGTTCCGGCACTCCTGCGACGCCCACTTGAGGCCCATGACGTGCTTGTAGCTCAAATTCCGGTAGTCCTCGATGAAGTTGCCCTGCAGCAGATCCCCGAAGCGCCGCTGCTCGCTGGCCAGCTGCTCCTGGCTGATGAAGCGCTCGCGCTGGGGCAGAGCGGCCAGGAGGAAGACCCGCTGCAGGCCCATCTCGGCCAGCTTGCTCTGGGGAATCGCCTGGCGGTGGGCGGAGCGCAGGGCATCGTGTCCGGCGTAGGAGGTGACTATCAAAATGGCTGAGCAGGAGGGGATTAGGAGGATTTTTAGTGATATTCTAGCAATCCACTCACCTAGGAGCTCCCTCTCCGCCTTGCGGCACACATTGCTGGCCAGCAGATACTGGAAATCGGTGAGATTCAGGAGGGGATTAGCTGGACTGGGCGGGGGATCCACCTCCACCTCCTCCTTTGTTTCGGGCGGGAGGTGCAGCAGGAACTGGTCCACGGGGGAGGACTCCCCGGCATCGGAGTCCCTCAGGTGGCCCGAAAAGTAGCAGAAACTCAGCAGGACGATCAAGAGTAGCGACAGGATAATCGGAAGCAATCTTCGTCCGCGCATGCGCATCTTTCTCACATTCTACGTGGGATTCCCCCGGCGCCGTCTGTATTCGGGTTTTCTGTGTGTGTGGCTCTGCTACTAATAACAATATTGCTTGCTATTAATTATTGTTATTAATAAACAAAAATAACAACAAAGAGCTGTGTTTTTTTTAACAATTCTTTTTACGCCCTTGCCACTTATAGGGTGTATGCCCCAAACGGTCACTTTAATTTAGCCGTGTCACCAACCGCGGTATTTTCCGGTATTTATATACATTCAATTTTAGGATCTTTTGCCTACGGCTTTACAGCGATTTTCCGGTATTTATATACTAGCAACAATAAAATATAATACCGAGTTTCTTGTGCCTCAAGAGTTTTCAGCGCGGTGTGCGTGCGTGTGCGTGCGTCCCCAACACAACGGCGTGTGTGTGTGTGCGTGTGCTTTTCTTAATATTTTTTTTTGTTAATAATAATTCTTGTGAGACTGCAGTGCAGCAGAAGCCAAAGAAAGTGAAAGCAGTGCAGCCAGAGAATTGCGCCCCCGGAATTTTGGCTTAACAATTCCAGAATCACAAAAACAAAAAATAAAACAGTGACTGCAGCAGCAGCAGCAACAAAAACGCAGCAGCAGCGACGTCGGCAGAGCGGCAGCAGCAGCAGCAGCAACAACAACAGCAATCTAGGTGGTGGAGAGGAGAGGGAGAGCAAGAGAGAGGGCCATACTCGATTCGAACAGCATGTGAGCTAATCAGCGAAGCAGCGATTTCTACAAACATTTCTGCTTCTTAAGGCCACCAAAAAAAAGCGAAGAAGAAGTGCTACAAATTATTAATAATTTAGTTAATGATTTATTCAAGTGACGTCGCGTGTTTTTCTCCTGTTTTTTGCCCAATAATCAAAACAACAACGGCAGTGGGAGAGGGAGAGAGAGACAAGAAACGGGAGCGAAGAAAAACAGTTAACTTTGTGGCCACCAAAAAGCGCAGTCGAGAAGAAGAAGAGAAAGAGATTGGGGAGCGATTTTAAGTAAAATACGAATTGAATCATTCGTATTTATTGGTTTTTGGTTTTAAACAAGAAAATCCGTGTGAAAATAGTGAACAAATTTCGAAGCGAACAAAACGCTGCTGCTGCGCTGCCACAGAGGCACCACAGCAATCTTATCGCCCCAAAAAAAAAAAAAAGAAATATATATAATATTCCAGAGACCTCAGAAAAACTGATGGTTTCTAGCCATGGACTATTGATTCCCCCGAATAATATCCAGTGAAAAGCGAAGAAAAGTCGGGAAAAATGACGGACTTTGTGGAGCTGATGAACAGCATGTCGAGTACTTTCAACAGCGACTGTGCCACTTCGACGGCCGAGGGGGGGACGCTGCTCAACTTGGATTTGGCCGAGGACAAGACGCTCAAGTGGCGCAATTTGGCCAACAATCAGTTTGCCTGCAAGGACAAGAAGCACAGGGAGAGGGAGGAAAAGGAGGAGGAGAGGGAGAGGGAGGAGAACAAGGAGGAGCAGGAATCCAGAAATCAGGATGTGGAAATCGAGGATATCAAGGGACTTTTGGCGGATGTTGTGGATGCGGCGGCTGTCAAGTTGGAGGAAGAAGAAGCAGCTGCAGCGGAGGCCAAACAGCAGAATGCAGAAAAGCTAGAAGGAAGCAGCGGGGAAAAGGAAGAGCAACAGCAACAACAACAAAAGGAAGAAGTAGAAGAAGAGGAGCAAGTGGAGCAGCGAAAGGAAGAAGAGGAAAAAGCCTTGGAAAAGGAAGAGGCAGAGGAGGAGGAGCAGGGAAAGGAGGTTGCAGCAGAAGAAGAAGAAGCAAAAGCAGCAGAAAAACAGGAAGCAAGTGCAGAATTAACAACAACAACAGGAGAAGCAGCAGGAGAAGCAAGAGAACCAGCAACAACAAATGAGGCAGCATCTCCACTTGTTGTTGAGGCAGCGGCAGCAGCTGATAAAAATGTAAGTAAATGTGCGTGTGTGTGTGTGTGAGCTTCGAAATTCTTGCTGTTTTTTTTTTATTTAGAAATTGTTTAACCCTTGACTGGCCAACATTTTTAAAGCGATTTTAATTTTATTATTTTTAAGAGTTTTTCCCTTATCTACCCCATGTTTAAGTCACATTTGTGCCATTCAACAGATGTGCCATTGTTAATTTTTATCGTCCGCCTAGGAAAAAGCTTCGTGGTATTGAGTAAAAAATATAACTATGCAGAGCTTTTAAGCTTTGTATTTTTTTTTTAATTTATACAAATGATTTACAGCCCAGTTAAAACAGCTCCTCAAACTCCAAAACTTCCATATTTCCACGCCATTTCAACTTGAGACTTTGGCTCACTTTTTTGATTTCTAATCATTATCTGATTCGAGATAACGAGTTGTTGTAAAACTATAACTCATCACCCGAGAGAATAGTTACTTTTAATGACCGGAAAACATTTAGCTAAACTATAATAAAGAAGAAATACAAAAAGTAAAATTAGAATCGGAAAAAAGTTCTTATCTTGCTTACTATAAAGATAACATGAGTTTAAACTGCTTACAACTCATCATTGGGTTTATGAAAAGAAATTATAGTCATAAAATTCATTCAGGAAAACGATGTATAATAATTCTGATGATTAATATGAGATATCATAAATATATTATACTATAATTTAAGATTAAATATAACTTAAAACAGGGAATAATGTAGTACTACTCAAATTTCGATTTAGCCAAATATGCAAAAATTAATAAAGATTATATGCATATGTTAATTGAGGTAAATTTGTCTTTTGACAAAGAAATAATAATTAACAAAAGTAAATAGAACGATTCTTAATTTAAAAAGGGGCATAGAATAGTGGAATAAATCAATTAGTTTAAGAGAAGTGAAGTTTTCTTTATTATTATATTAGAAAAGAAAAGTTTCGTATATTACATATAATAAACCGGATTGAGAAATCGAGATATCTGAGATTCAGGCCCCAATAAAATTGCAAGCATAGCTTTTCTTCCAGATGATGTGATGTGCAATTGCCATAAGAATATAAACAAGCTCCCCTCGAAAGTTAAACAGGAAGATGAAAGCAAATAAATAAATAGATTTGCATAAATCCCAAGGGGGATGAATTAATTTTGCATCTAAATTCCAATTCATTCATCCTTTTAACCAGCTGGCCGCGTGTGTTTGGTAGAATCAGTTGTCCTGGCAACCGACGAAGCCATTCGAAGCATTCCTTTGGGGCTGGTCTAATCTAAAATATCTGAAACGAAGGACTTACTGAATGAGTGTCTCTATTTTGCAGGAACAGCTTTCGCCAGGAGGAACGCGACGCTCTAGGAAAACGCCGCGCAGTGCCACGCCCACTCCCACGCCCACCACCGATGAGCCACCCGCCCAGTTGAAGATTACCGAGTTGGAGGCATTGGAACTCCCAAAAGAGGCTGATAATCGCCTGGAGGAGATCAGCACGCTGGAGGAGATCTCAGCAGCAGCTGGTGGTGGTCAGGAGATAAAGCCGTCGTCCATGACCACTTCTTCCCCGGAGGAGAACTCTGCACCTGCTCCCAAACGAGGAAGAGGTCGAGCCAAGAAAATAAGACCAGATGTGACCGAAATGCCAGTGGAAACCAGTGAAATTCTGCCTCCAGGCGAGGATTCGGTGGTGGAGAAGAAGCCGGGACGCAAGAGGAAGCTGCCGGAGGAACAAATGGACCATCTCAGTGACCTGGTGGTGGTGAAAACCGAGCAGGAGGAGCTGGCATTGGATGCTCCCTCGGGTGGCGATGGAAAAAGGATGCGTCGCAGTGTCCGACTGGGCAATCGCTTACCCGCCGATGGAGGCGCCTGGGAGGAGGTGAAGACTGAGCCGGCAGAGCTCTCCTTCATTGAGGTCACTCCGGTGCCAATGCCACCAGCTGCGGTGCTCGATGAGAAGACCCCTCCTAAGAAACGAGGTCGCAAGGCCAAGATTCCGCCAGGCAGCTCCACCTCCTCCGCCGCACTTCCTGCCCTGACCAATGGCAGCCAGAAGAAGACCACTCCCACAGCTGGAGGATCATCCGAGTTGCAACTGCCCAAGCGCTCCAAGAGGCGCATCAAGCCCACGCCCAAGATCCTAGAGAACGATGAGCTGCGCTGCGAGTTCGAGACGAAGCACATCGAGCGAATGACCCACTGGGAGAGTGCAGCAGCAGCAGCAGCTTCAGCAGCGGATGGGGAATTTGAGACACCAACAGGAGGCGGTTCCAATTCATCAACTTCGCGGCAAAAGAGCGACAAATCCGATGGCAGCAACTTCGATGGCGTTCCAGGTCATCCAGCCGGCACGAGTGCCATCAAGAAGCGGCTCTTCTCCAAGTCGCAGCGCGACATCGAGAACTACGGAGCCGCCATGCTGGCCAAGAGCAAGGTGCGTCCCTGTCCGGATGTCGAGCAGTTCCTCAGCGACATCAAGGCGTCGCGCATCATGGCGAATCGCTCGCCGGAGGAGCGCAAGCTGAACAAGAAGCAGCAAAGGAAGCTGGCCAAGCAGAAGGAGAAGCACCTGAAGCATCTGGGACTGCAGCGTAATCACAGCGAGGAGGCCTCCGACAACGATAGTTCCAATACGGACAATGAGTTTGTGCCCACGACCAGGGTGCAGGTGGGCAAGCCCAGTGTTACGCTGAGGGTGAGGAACACGGTGGCCAAGGAGCTGCCCACAACATCCGCGGCAGCAGCTGCTCAGAAAGCCAACCTAAAGCCAGCCAAACTCACGAGAAGAGTGGCAGTAAAAGGAGGAGCTGGAGGAGTAGCTGGATCAACCACGCTCGATCCAGAACAACTGCACTCGCTGAACACCTCGATCCTGGCCGATGCTGCGCCCATCAGAGAACTGGATGCCCGGCCCAGCACCTCGAAAGTGGCCAAGTTCATTTGCCTGTGCCAGAAGAGTTCGCAGTACTATGCCAGGAATGCGCCGGATTCGTCCTACTGCTGTGCCATCGATCACATTGACGAGCAGAAGATCGGCTGCTGCAACGAGCTCTCCTCGGAGGTGCACAACCTCCTGCGTCCCAGCCAAAGGGTCAGCTATATGATCCTGTGCGACGAGCACAAGAAGCGCCTGCACTCGCACAACTGCTGTGCAGGATGCGGGATCTTCTGCACGCAGGTATAGAATGATTACTCTCAAATATAAGTACCAATTTTAATTTATAAACCACTTATTACAGGGTAAATTTGTGCTGTGCAAGCAACAGCATTTCTTTCATCCCGACTGCGCCCAGCGCTTCATCCTAAACACTCCCTACGAGGAGGGACGTAATGGCGACCAAGAGGAACCGGCAGCCAAGTTCAGCAGTCCCATGCTGGTGCTCAAGTGCCCGCACTGCGGACTGGACACGCCCGAGCGCACCTCCACGGTGACCATGAAGTGCCAGTCGCTGCCCGTCTTTCTGCCCACCCAGAAGTACAAGATGTGAGTGATTAACTCTCTTTGTAGCAACTACTTAACTGCTTTATAACCCACTAAACAGCAAACCCGCCAAGTTGACTACCTCCTCACATCTGGCGCAATTCGGAGCGGCTGGAAAGGTCAGCAGCAGCAGTCCAGGAGCCAAGGTTAAAGGCAAGGGAGGATCTTCCGCTGCTGCAGCAACCAGTTCAGCTTCGAAGTCGAACGGCAGCCAACGGAGCAAAGCAGCAGGAAGCCATGCCCTCAACACAATCAACTTTGCCCAGCTGATTCCCGACTCCGTGATGAACGTGGTGCTGCGCGGCCATGTGGTTTCGGCCAGTGGACGCGTGACCACGGAGTTTACCTCCCGGGATATGTACTATGCGGTGCAAAACGATGACTTGGAAAGGGTGGCGGAGATTCTGGGTGAGTTTCTTAGACTGCAATCCTCCTATCTATCTTTTAATTTCCCCGTTTTCCCCAATAGCTGCCGACTTCAATGTGCTGACCCCCATTCGGGAGTACTTGAACGGCACCTGCCTGCATTTGGTGGCCCATTCGGGCAGCCTCCAGATGGCCTACCTGCTGCTCTGCAAGGGCGCCAGTTCGCAGGATTTCGTCAACATAGTGGACAGCGAACTGCGGACGGCATTGATGTGTGCGGTGATGAACGAGAAGTGCGACATGCTCAATCTCTTTCTGCAGTGCGGAGCCGATGTGGCCATCAAGGTGAATATTAATTATGATATAAAATAATGATTAAAATATATATATAATATATATCTTTAAAAAAGGGCCCCGATGGCAAGACCTGTCTGCATATTGCCGCCAAGCTGGGCAACGTGGAGGCCACCCAGTTGATTGTGGAGAGCTACCGAGCTTCGCGGAACATCACCAGCTTCCTGAGCTTCATCGATGCCCAGGATGAGGGCGGTTGGACGGCCATGGTGTGGGCAGCGGAGCTGGGACACACGGATATCGTTAGGTGGGATTTTTGGTTAGCCCTTGAATTCCCTGATTAATATTCCCTATTCTTTTATAGCTTCCTGCTCAACCAGGAGGCCGATCCGAACATCTGCGACAACGACAACAACACGGTGCTCCACTGGTCGACGCTGCACAACGATGGTCTGGACACGATTACGGTGCTGCTGCAGGCGGGTGCTGATTGTAATGTGCAGAATGTGGAGGGGGATACGCCACTGTAAGGATAGTTTACTAACTAGTCAATTAAGGAATAATTAAATGTCTGATTTGTAGCCACATTGCCTGCCGTCACTCGGTCACCCGCATGTGCATCGCTCTGATTGCCAACGGCGCCGATCTGATGATCAAGAACAAGGCGGAGCAGCTGCCCTTCGACTGCATCCCCAACGAGGAGTCCGAATGCGGCCGCACCGTGGGCTTCAACATGCAGATGCGCAGCTTCCGACCGCTGGGCCTGCGCACCTTTGTGGTCTGTGCCGATGCCTCGAATGGCCGCGAGGCACGACCCATTCAGGCGGTGCGCAACGAACTGGCGATGTCCGAGAGCGAGGACGAGGCCGATTCGCTGATGTGGCCGGACTTCCGCTACGTGACGCAGTGCATCATCCAGCAGAACTCGGTGCAGATCGACCGGCGCGTCTCGCAGATGCGCATCTGCTCCTGCCCGGACAGCTGCAGCAGCGATCGGTGCCAGTGCAACGGAGCCTCCTCGCAGAACTGGTACACCGCCGAGAGCCGCCTCACCGCCGACTTCAACTACGACGATCCGGCGGTGATCTTCGAGTGCAACGACGTCTGCGGCTGCAATCAGGTGCGAGTCTATTCTTAATCAGATATTATTCATATATTCATACCTTTTTGTCTGTTACTTAATAGCTCTCCTGCAAGAACCGCGTGGTTCAGAACGGAACAAGGACACCGCTGCAGATCGTCGAGTGCGAGGAACAGGCCAAAGGATGGGGCGTTCGGGCACTGGCCAATGTGCCCAAAGGCACCTTCGTGGCCAGCTACACGGGCGAGATCCTGACCGCCATGGAGGCCGATCGGCGCACCGACGACAGCTACTACTTTGACCTGGACAACGGGCACTGCATCGATGCCAACTACTATGGGAATGTGACCCGCTTCTTCAACCACTCGTGCGAGCCGAATGTGCTGCCAGTTCGCGTCTTCTACGAGCACCAGGACTACCGCTTCCCCAAGATCGCCTTCTTCGCCTGCCGCGACATCGATGCCGGGGAGGAGATTTGGTAAGCCGATCGAAGGAGCTGTGAAAAAAGATCTAGATCTACAATATTTATTTGCTAGTTTCATAAATTACATTTTATATTTATTTTATAATAATTGCTTTTATTTTAAAATCTTGTTTAAATACTTTTTTGTATAACAGTTAACGTTACCTAAAATATTCTTATTTTTTGCGACACTGATATCACCTGATAGGGTAAATATAATTGCTTTTTTTTTATATTTAATAATAACCTAAAATATTCTTATTTTTTGCGACACTAAAAAAATACCTGAAATCTTAAAGATCTGTAGAAACAAATAACTAGAACAGAATAAGAAGGCATATAGATTTTATTTATTTGCTATTTTCATATACTACATGTTTTGTTTATTTTAGAATAATTGTTTTTATTTAAAAATGTTATTTAAATACTTTTTTGTATATCAGTTAACGTTACCTATAATATTCTTATTTTTTTCGCAGCTAAAAAAATACCTGAAATCTTCAATATATTTTTTTTTATATATCATAATTATAGAGTAAATTTACAATAGTTTTTTTTTGTAAATTGGTTGGTATTGTACTTGAGAGGCCAATTGAACAATTTATTGATCAATTATTTTCCATAAACTTAATTGAACCACTTATTCTCCTTTTCGTTTTTTGAGAAACCAATTGAAAAAGCTAGAATAAATATTATTTTCATTGGTTTCCTTTCAGCTACGACTACGGCGAGAAGTTCTGGCGCGTGGAGCACCGCTCCAGTGTGGGCTGCCGCTGCCTAGCCGCCTCCTGCAAGTACGCCTCCCAATCCTCAAGCACAAATGCCTCGCCCACGGATGCAGCGACTGCAGCGGAACCGGAAACGGTAACGCAGCCACCTGCAAATGCAAATGAAAATGCAAATGCCTCGGAGGAGATGGAGCAGGCGTAGGCCGCCACCACCATGACCTCAACTCGAAATGATTCCAGAATCCCCACCAAAAGCCACAAGCCACCAGCAACCAAGCCACATACATCGGACAGCCGACATCTGACATCACAGCACCAGCAGGAAAGATCGCCATATATGTAGTATATATAGTATATATCATATGCATGATGAATCGAAATGGGAGCCCGTCAAAAAGGAAGGGCCTTCTTCTTCGACTGCCAAATGTTTCATGGTTTACAAATTTTTTGTCTATTTTTATGCATACAGTTAGTGTTTGTTTATTATTAATTTTATTTGGTTTTTATTCATTTGTTTACCTTTGCCCCCTAATATTAATTAATTTTTTATTACCGCTACCTGTAATCACCCATTATTTTTATGTTATTTACGAGAAGCTAATTGACAAGAAGGGCAACAAGTTGCCGCGTGCAAATCCCATCCCTTCCCCACTGTTTGGGTGTGTGTGTGCGAAATGTAAATGTCCTAAACTTAATTTAGAATTAGACTTGTAGACGGAAAAGTGCATCTAGTCATAAGAACGAGGGAGACGGAAGTTTAAAAATAGAGAGAGAGCGGGAAAACTCGTTTCGTGAGTTTCATAGTTCATAGAAAAGCTTTTAATTAGGTTTTCCTCTCCGTTTAACAATACAAATTTCATTAGGAGGATTTAATGCAACAATAACCCAAAGTACATGATAAATAACGGAGCAGAAAACATGTTTTTGATATCAGGCATTGATTTAAACTAGCATTTAGCTGATATACATATAATATGTTGCAGGGTAAAGTACTGATAGTCGTTAACAGGAAATAAGTTGAAGTTGTTTTTTGTATTTAGCCAGGCACACACACACATGCACACACGCACCCAACTGGACACCACCAACTCCTCCAATCTAATCCCATCCTAACCAAAATCGAAAGCATTATATTGCACAATTCGTGTTAGAGTTTTTCAGTTTGCCAAGCAACGTTAGCCAAGCCACAAGTGCCTCAAAGAGAATAATACCAATACCCCAACATCCCAACACCCTAACACGCTCTAGAAATCTAAAAGACCCCCCGATTTGGCTTCAGACCAAGATGGTTATATACAGGAACTACCTATACAGCTATCAATCGACCAAGATCACAAACTGCGTTGCATTTTGGGACACGACCCTCGATAGTCGACGGACTGCGGTTTACTTAATGTGTGAGTTCTCCGATTCCGATCATATATAGTATAGTATAGCATATCCCCCGCGTCTAACGAACCCCCCCTTGATTCCCGTGTGTGCTATATAGACTTGGATATATCGGGCTATAAACTTTGATGTGTGTTTTGCGTCTATAGGTGTATAAGGTGTAAATGTTTGTAACGACAATATAGGAGTATGTATGTAGTTTAAGATGTAGATTATCCCCCCAGACCTCTCACTCCCCCCTTCCCCGCCAGCCGCAAGGTCAAGGGTCAAAGGACAAAGGACACACAGGACAGGTCTCCGGCCTGCGACTTTTCCACTGGCCTTTCTATACGTATTTGTGTACCTACGATAAGCAACAAGATTTACAATGAATATATATATGTACGGTTTCGATGTCCCCGGGTTTATCGCATCCGAATCCGGATCGGATCAGAAGATCACACCTAGAAATTATAGCATAACTCACACGGAACACGTATGTTTTTAATTTTAATTTGAATTGTTATCGCGGACAGCAATAAAGCTGTCGTCTTATTTGTTTTGTTTGCCTTGATTCCCCCATATTTCTTTTGTTTTTCGACCCAAAATTGCTGATTAGTTGGAAAATCGAAAGTTTACCTCCGTGGGAGAGACACTTTCTTTGCAATTACGTTAACGTTTAGCCATAAGATATTAAATCAATCAAATAAACAATAATTACGAACAGCAAAAGTGGTGCGATCAATAAACAAATATCATCAGTGTGCAGAAGAAATGGTATTTTCTGGGTGTGGCATGGGGTTTCATTTTTCTAAATTTAATTTGAAATTTTAAACTTGCGCGCCAAAAGAATCGATTACCAGTGTTGCCACTCGGTCCGATGATTACCCATCGTTATCGAAACGAGCAGCTGATTTTTTGTTTTGTAATATTTGAGGTTGGTTTTTAGGGTTCTCCTGCTATTTTATTAAATTCCACTGTTTAATGGCTGGTTTGTTCTGTTAAAGCGGTTGCCAAGGCCAGAAGAGTGGGACTGCTACACGAAAACCAGTCGAAACCCAAGTGACGGCGAAGAGGAGAGTCGGAAAACCGGAAACCGGCTAGGCGAAAACATCGAAAACTATGAGTTTCCCGGACAAGGCGGAGCGCACCAAGTGCTGGAGCAATCGGGACGAGTACTGGAAGTGCCTGGACGAGCACGCTCCGAAGCACAGCTCCACCAGCGGGGAGAAGGTGCCCGCCGCCTGCCAAAGTCTGCGCAAGCTGTTCGAGCAATCCTGTCCCGGCCAGTGGGTCAAGCACTTCGACCGCAAGCGCACCTACGAGCAGTTCAAGGAGAAGATGGCCCAGGGCTACGATCCTTTGGAAGAGCGAGTGCGGGCCGAGAAGCAGGCCAAGTGATGCGTGATTTTTGTACTGTTGTAGGGTAGTGTAAATAAATAGCCCATCTAGCTGTATGACAACAAGAATGTATGTTCCTTTCATTTTTTGACACGGCCCATTGAAGGGTTAAAGCTTCTGAGCCAGTGTTCACACACCAGAATCTTTTACCAAATTATCGATTACCGATAGTCTCCACCTGCAAGCGGAAAGTTTGCGTGCTAATTTGATGTATTGTATTTAACAATTTAATTGGGATTCGTGAGTGGGAGCAACCAGAACCGCTGCACATGACGTAATGGAGTCGATTACCTTTGGAGTTCTGACCAGTGAGTGGCCCTGAAACCGCCGTGGAGCACCTAATTCACCTGCCTTTCAGTTAGTGACACCTGTTGCAAGGAGCCGGCAAAGGATAAAAGTGGTCCCTGCTTAAAACAACTGATTGGTGAATCCTTTGCCAATGCCCAGGTGATTGGGAGCATTGTGCCCGACGAGAAGGACTTAATTCAGGCGGAGTTGCGGAAGTGGATCAACCAGGAGGATCTCCGGGTGATCCTGACCACGGGCGGAACAGGATTTGCGCCAAGGGATGTGACTCCGGAGGCCACTAAACCTCTGCTGGAAAAGGAGTGCCCGCAACTGGCGCTGCTCATCACCCTGGACTCCCTGAAGAAGACCCAATTTGCCGCCCTTTCCCGCGGCCTCTGTGGCATCGCGGGGAACACCCTGATCCTCAACTTTCCCGGCAGCGAAAAGGCTGTAAAAGAGTGCTTTGCGACGGTGAGGGATCTCCTGCCCCACGCCCTCCATCTCATCGGTGACCAGGTGTCGCTGGTGCGGCAGACACATGCGGAGGTTCAGGGATTAGCTTTTCCTACCAGCAATCACATTTGCCCCCATAAAACGGGCGCAGGCAGCGATTCGGATCGCAATTCACCCTTTCCCATGCAGCCCGTCCACGAGGTGCTCTCGATTATCTTCGAAACGGTGCAGAGAACCAGCGAGTTGGACAGGATCCTCTGGCAGCTCAACTCGCCGGTGAATATTCCGCCCTTTAGGGCTTCTATCAAGGATGGCTACGCCATGAAGTCCACCGGCTTCTCGGGCAGCAAGCGAGTTCTGGGCTGCATAGCCGCCGGCGATGAGGTGGGTCTACTTTAGTAAACTATAAATAAATATATATTTTAATATTTCAGCTCAATTCTTCGCCTCTAGCTGAGGATGAGTGCTTTAAAATAAACACTGGAGCACCGCTGCCGCTGGAGGCGGACTGTGTGGTCCAGGTGGAGGACACCAGGCTGCTGCAGCGGGACAAGCACGGCCAGGAGAGCCTGGTAGACATAATGGTGGAGCCGCAGGCCGGCTTGGATGTGCGGTAGGCAGTCCCGAATCCCAAGGAGAGCCCACTTAAATCCCTTACTTTTATTTCAGACCTGTGGGTCACGATCTAAGCACCCGGGATCGCATCTTTCCCGCCGCGGATCCCTCCTCTGTGGTGGTCAAATCCCTGCTGGCCTCCGTGGGCCATCGGCTGGCCGTGCCCAAGCCCCGCGTGGCCATTGTGTCCACGGGCAGTGAGCTACTCTCGCCGCGCGATCAACCGACGCCGGGCAAGATCTTCGACTCGAATACCACCATGCTGGCGGAACTGCTGCTCTACTTTGGCTTCGACTGCCTGCACACGAGTGTGCTGAGCGACAGCTTCGCGCAGACCCGGGAATCCCTTTCCGATCTCTTCGAGGTGGTGGACTTTGTCATCTGCAGCGGCGGCGTGTCGATGGGCGACAAGGATTTCGTGAAGCCCGTGCTGGAGGACCTGCAGTTCAAGCTTCACTGCGGCCGGGTGAACATGAAGCCAGGGTAGGAAAACCCTAACATGCCTGCAATCTATTGATTAATCCTGTAAATCCCCCTCAGCAAACCCATGACCTTTGCCAGCCGCAACGAGAAGTACTTCTTCGGGCTGCCCGGCAATCCCGTGTCCGCCTTCGTCACCTTCCACCTGTTCGCCCTGCCCGCCATCCGCTGGGCGGCTGGCTGGGATCGCCAGAAGTGCTCCCTGCCCGTGATCAATGTGAAGGTAGGTTCCCTGTTCCTCGTTCCATTTAACCACATGGCGAAATCGATTGTGATTGATGAAGGCTATCTCATAGAAATCAATCAAGAGGATTCGAGAACGCCGCTTGCTGTAGGTCATCGCTTCTGACGCGCTGACACTTTTGCTTTCGAGTGGGTCGCCTTATCTGTTTGTTTACAGGCGATAAGAAATAGTTTGTCAGCAGAAAGCTTGAGTAAATGCGGAAGTTTTTATACCCTGTTTAAATTAGCAGTGATTATATTTTATGATTAATCTAGGTGAACCCTTGTAACATATAAATTAACTGATTTTTCTATTAATTATCCTACAGTTGCTCAACGACCTCAGTTTGGATGGCCGTCCGGAATTCGTTCGCGCCTCGGTGATTTCCAAATCCGGAGAGCTGTACGCCAGCATTAATGGCGACCAGGTAAGCCAGGTGGCTCCTCTGAATTTAACCCCAACTAAATACCATGCTTATTCCAGATAAGCAGCCGCCTGCAGAGCATTGTGGGTGCCGATGTTTTGGTCAACCTGCCGGCAAGAACCTCCGATCGTCCAACTGCAAAGGCTGGTGAAGTTTTCCCCGCCTCCGTGCTGCGCTACGACTTTATCTCCAAGTACGAATAGGAACTGCCCAGACAAACCAATCCAGAACCAATCGAATCCAGACATCAGACAACACAATAGATTAGCACAAAGATTTATTTTTTCATATATCGCAACATTACGTACAATGTCCATCAATCAACACCCTTAGCAGTGTGTAAAAAAACGAGTATAAAGTAAATATTATAGAGGCCTTCCTAAAGGAAGCAATATTATCGAACAAAAATAATTTGCAGATAGATTAAAAAACGGAGAGAGACGGGACCTGGAGAAACGGGATAAGGATCGGGATCAGGAGTATATATACAGGAAATGGAAGCAGGAGGAGAATCCGATCTCAAACCGACTGAGTGGCCGATTCGCCGACAGCGGATGGAACTACCGCCCTTTGGAGACGCAGCGAGGAGCGGCATGGCAACGTGAATTGATACTTGTTGTGGCTGAGGAGCGGATAGCGCTGCTGCGGGGCAAAGTCCCACAGCGCCCGCTCGATGACCTGCAGGGCGCCGGGACTCAGCACGTCGGCCGTGTATTGCGTGGGAGCTCCGGCAGTTGAGGAAATGGCTGTAAGAGGGAATATACATTATGTTTCGTTTGGAAATCCAAGGAGTAACTCACTCTGTGCCACTGGCGCCTTGTACAGCGACTCCGCCGTCATGCCGCAGGTGTCCAGAGCCACCACACTGACGCCATACGGCTGCAGCTCCTTGCGCAGCTCCTCGGCGCACTTGTCCACCGCCACGCGCGAGGCATTGAAGGCCACCAGTCCATCGCCGCCGCTCCGAGCGGTCTCTCCGCCGCCGCCCAAATAAAGTAGCCTGCCGCGCGTGGGACGCAGGAAGCCCACAAAGGCCTTGGCCACACGCAGCGTGCCCAGGATGTTGGTCTTGAGCATGTGCTCCCACTGCTGCACATCCTGCGACTCCACCTTGCCGCGGAACACACTGCCGCTGGTGTTGATGACGGCCGCAATGCCCCGCTCATCGGCATTCAAATGGGCGCCCATCGAGACGGTGGCCTCGCGCAGCACATCCTCCCGCGTGACATCCAGTCGCATCGGTATAATGGTGCCCGCAATCGGCTCCTCGCTGTACTCCCGGATCTTCATCCAGCCGCAGAGGAGTTTCGCGGGCAGCGAGTCGTGGGCCTCCTTCATGCCGGCGAAGACGCGGCATCCCTTGTTGGCCAAATGGGTGCACAGCTGGAGGCCCAAGGCGGTATCGGCGCTGGTCACCAGGACCACGCGACTGGGCTGCGAGTCCGCACTCGCCGAGGCGCTGTCCTCGCGCACCTTGCAGATCAGGTAGATGAGCAGCGCGCCGGCGATCGAGAAGAGCGCCAGCAGCTGGAAGGCCAACACCAGCATGGTCATTGGCTCCATTATGACATCGCTGCAATGGGAACATAAATAAAATCAATCTGATATTAGTTTAAATGCAACTAGATACTAATACTTAAAAAATACATTTAGTTCGCCTCTAAATTCGTTGCCACTCAGAATTCAATTGACACTTTTGCACAAACTGTATTTCTTGTTTGTTCATGGAGATCAGTTGATAAAGTAGGAAAATATTGCAGGGTGAAAATTACATTTAATTATAATTAGCACACGTATTTGGGACAATTCAATTTTTGATTATTCGAAAAGTCGAAATGTCCACGATTTTTAGAGGCTTTTCTAACGGACGCTTTCTTGAACGGACAGCCTTTTTTGCACTTGGCTTAAAATTAACAGATAGTATTTTGGGACAATTCAATTCTAGATTATTCGAAAAGTCTAAATATCTACGATTTTGTAAGACTTAGAGGAAATTAACCTGAAAAGTGTTTGCTAACGGACGCTCTCTTGAATGGACAGCCTTTTTGCACATGTGGCTTGGCTTAAACTTAACAGATCGTATTTTGGGAATATTCAATTCTAGATTAATTTTATTAGAAGTCTAAATATCCACGATTTTGAGAGACTTAGAGGAACTTAACCTGAAAAGTGTTTGCTAACGGACGCTCTCTTGAACGGACAACCCTTTTAAATGTATGATATAATACCTTCAGAGCTCAGCGGTGTATATAGTAGGTCTGTCATTGATATCTTAGTCCCATTTAATGGAAAAGCGCCTGTTATATCTGGGCTCCAATGGACACTCTCTCCCTGACGGGGGGTTTCGCCACCCTCTAGAGTTGGGTAACCAGACACTGCACTTCGCAATGGATGGAGTGGATATAGCTATAGCTATAGCGTGGATATATATCCACAGCCGTATCCATGTCGATCTTTTGGCATTTTCACTTTAATTAAGACTCGTTAGGCTGCCGACGCATCGGGTAACAACTTTACGCTTGCCTTGCACTCTTTTCTTTCTTTCTATTTAATACGCTTTAATTATTGCACATTTTTCGACGAGTTTTTAACAATTTACCCGGCCGGGCCCTCGAAGAAATCAAAAAAATTCCAAGAGGGGGAGATAGATAGATAGATATCTGTGGATCCATGGATCCACGACACACGAACGTGGTCAGCGAGGCGTGTCCACTTCGAGTCTTCCATGCATTTGGCAATAAATTATGTCTACGTGCTTCTTGGCTTTTCACTACTGAGGATGGGGAGGTGGCGGAGTTGGGAGAGGAGGGGATCTGGGATGGGGGATGGGCTATTTGGAGGCGGAGGATGAACGTAAGTAAAAGTTGGAACCCAACCAACTGCAGTTTGGAAGCCGGAGCAAACCGTGATCTATGCCATGTCTTTTTCAGACAGTCACACAGTTAAAAAAAAATCTCTGACTATTTAATAATATTATATCATTTTAATATTATATATTTGCCAATGCAATAAACCTGTATAATAATATATAAAATAATTCATATCACCACAATTGTCTCAGAACCAGAATTTAATTAAAAAAATAAATAATATTATATAATTTTAATATTATTATAATAATATAATAACCTCTTTATATACTTTTATATAAAATATTTTTACCTTGCTGTATATATTTGTTTTAAAAAGATAGTTTATTAAAATAATAATAATTTATTTATTTATTTAATATATATTTCCACTTGGTTGTCTGTTACCATATTCATTTATTTTTTTAATATTTCTAGGGTATATAATCTAGGGAATTTCTAGCACATATGTGCCCTATTTTCTCTCGGTGCACCGCTTGTGGGTGCAGTTACTCGAGCGGACACTTTCCAGGTTCCGGTGGTTCCCCTTTATTGCGCCACTCCACCCTGCACCCTCCTGCTCTTTAAAATTTCACTTATGTGCAGAGCCGATGAAGAAGTTTGTTGACACGCGGAAATGGGTTTGCCATATTTGCCGGCACTGCGGTTTTGGGCTCGCAATTTGGAATTTGGGGGCGAGTGCGGGGTAAACGGAATCGGAATGGGAGTCGCTTTTGGTCAAACCACCAATGCAGCGGCACTGCATCCGCTGGCGGTTGCGTAATTAGACAAACAAACAGCGGAACAATCAAATGCATTATGGACAATGCAGCCAAACGATACGTGCAACTTGGAGAAAACGCAGGGAGAAATTTTTTGAGGTTTGCCAGATCTTGGGGAAAGATTTTGTCCATGGTTCGGCTTTTAATATGTATAGTATAGGTCGTTAGCTGTTCAAAACGGTCTTTCAGCTGTAGGCCTCGAATTGTCCAAGCTTCGACTAAAAAATCATAAGAAAAGGTTGTTTTCGTCGAAAATTCGAATCCATATTTTTAACTCTAAAATATTAGTATTTTGGCCATAACAATGGAAATAATGATCCAAATATGGAGTGTCATACATCGATGAGTTCGTAATTAAATTCCCAATCGACTCTCATTTAAACCTAATTTTTTAATTTTTAATTTTTTCAGTCAAAAAATAAATTTCCCAGATTCCGTTTAAGATTATTAGAAATTGAAAACCTTCTTATTTAAAGACTTAACTTAAAGTACCTAGATCTTAACTAACCGTTGCATTAATTGTTCATTGTAAATTCTCTAAAACCCAAATAAGCTGCCTTAATGAGTTGCTTCATTAGCCAAGATCTCTGGCCAACCAGTGGTTGCATCAGCAGAATGCGGACCACTTGTGGAGTCGCCTTGGTGGCTCTCGATTGCGCAAGTGGTTATGTCAACTGCCGGACAGTTCTAATGGATCTTAGAGCTTGGAGCTGCTGACCCAAATGGAACGCGAAGCGCGGGTCTTTGACTTTGGCATCAATCAATTGGCCAATCATTCAATCAAGCCAATCATCGGACTGCAAACTGGACAAACAAACCAAGTGTGTCATTAGCCACCGGTTGAATGTGTCAGTGATGAAGTGAGCTCGACTTACTCCGATCCGAGGCAATTACTCCGGAATTATCGGCATCGAACGCCTGGGAATGGAATGCGTGGAGTGTGCCGGCGACTCTAGCCATGATTACCAGGTGACTGCACCTGTGATTAGCGATTAACGACTAATGATTAACGATTGACAGGTGGACTAGTGACTCCGAACCCCCAGTAATCATACGTATTTCATAGGTATTTCTAGTAGAGCTTTGAAAAAAACGACAGTTTTATATTTAAAGATATTTATTTTTTTTAAACATCGATGTTATTGTCAAAATATCGATAATATCGATAATTTTCATGCTTTGTACTCTTCTTATATAGTCTTATTTACCGCCCTTTGTGTATATCTTACATATATTTCTATGTTTATCTGTCTATTGTCTCTCTGTCGCTGTGATTCAACAATAGTTGAACTGCTTTTATGCTGATGTCAGGTCTCTTGACACTGCGCTAATTGAAATGTCACATAAAACAAATCTTTGTTTGAGCGGAAGATAGTTGGAGGTTACAGATAGCCTACATATCTTATAGAGTGCTTACTTAGATATATGTATTTTGAGGGATTTGTATTTTTCAGCTAATCCCCATCATAATCTGCAATTATCCAGCTACGCAGCTGTAGTTTTTATGTAGTACATGGCTCTCCTCACCTTTCAGACTGATTACTCCCAAATGTACTCGCAAATCTTTCCCATACATGTTTCCAGTTTCAAAGGGGTTGGTCCAAAATCTGTTCAGGGTTGGGCTAATCACTTGAACAAACGCTTTGTTTCTTGTTCGGGCCACGATTCATGCCTTACTCACACTTTGGGTTGAGTTCGAGACAATGTCAGGTGAATATGAATACCCAGGGGCGTACTTTTAGGGGGGCTTTTACGATGAAAAAAATAACGAATTTTAAGTATAATTTATATGTGCCATATTCCGACTCAGAATCCCATTGATTCCCCGATTTTATTGTGTTTTATGGCCCCCCTTTTAACACCATCACAACTGCACATTTGCACTTGCTCACACATGAGAAATATGTTAATTGCGACATTTGCCGATTTTGCTGTGGTCAGGCATTCATAAGCTTCGACTTCGACTTCAAGTTTGGTTTTCTCATTTGTTTGGCTGGCTGTAGCTTTTGTTTTCTGTTTTCCTCTGTTGTTTTTTTCTGTTAACATTCAACCCAAATATGTCAGCCAGTCGGCGGCAGCCAGACAGGCATCCCAATGGCATGAGATCAATATCCATACAGCAAGCAGGCACGGCACTTTGGCCATAAAACCAAATATCTGTGTAGCCACATTACGTATACGCAGCGTGGCGGTGATTATGAATGCAGTTGGTTAAAAGTTGGGTCGCTTGATTAATGATTCCGCCGGATTCACGGAGGGGCAAAGATAATTATGTGGATAAATTGAGTTATTTTCTGCGGCAAGTGTTTGTTTGATTCCCTAAACAGTGTTGGTTGGTTGAATGCAATGCAAAATATAGTGTTGGTAAAGGCTTTATTAAATTCTAATTCTGTTCAAAAAGAGGCGAAGTTATTTTTTAGAAAATTTAATTAATCTTTGATTGGTTTCAGTTAACTAATGATTAATTTGAATGGTTGGCTAACATGTCTAGCCAGTGTTAGTAAAGTAATTAATATGGTATAAAATTTTTAAAAAATATAAGAAAAAAGTTGGTCAACGAACTTCATCGCGCATTACAACATATTAAGGTAAACTTTGGCTCAACCTCCATTTCTTTTTCTTCGTCCATCCCTGTAGATTAATAGACCCACTTGGAGGTCCGAAGCCCCTCCCTCCCCCACTCCCCTCGTCTTGCTCCCTTTTTGGTGGCGAAAATTAGTTGAAAAAGTTGAAATGCAACGAAGCGATAAATGTTGATTCAGATGGGGGATATTCGATATGGCTGAAACCGAAACCGAAACTGATTTTTGGGCTTGGCCTTTTCCCCCTTCGTCTGCTTTGATGCACATGCAAAGCGAAATTGTTGGCTAATTGCCATAATTGGAGAATCGATCGAAGAAATAAGCGAAAAACGCCCAGCGAAAAAAAGACAATGAGAAAAA